CGCCGGGCAAGGTGTTCTGCCCGGGGAGCGGCCAACACTCCGTGTGATAGTTCGGAGATATTCTGTATATGCTGTTTATGATTCGGAATGTTGATAGCGTGATTTAGGCCTCGATGTGTTTCGCTTGCGGCGCGACGACAGCGCCGCCACATCACCCCCTGCTCAGACCAGAGGTCGATAGTGCAGTCCGATTGTCGGTGCGTCCTTAATGCCGGTGGGGAATGCATGCTGTGTGCGTAAGGGCAAGTGACACCGGTGCGAATGATATGCCGATGTGTAAGATCACGTCGGGGTCACCACTGTGGCCGTGGAAGGAAAAGGGGGGATCTCCCGCCGGGCAAGGTGTTCTGCCCGGGGAGCGGCCAACACTCCGTGTGATAGTTCGGAGATATTCTATGTATGCTGTTTATGATTCGGAATGTTGATAGCGTGATTTAGGCCTCGGTGTGTTTCGCTTGCGGCGCGACGACAGCGCCGCCACAAAAGTATATCTTATGCATGTAAGGTTGAACTTGTGAGTTGCCTGCTGTTTTAAGCTGGTATTATGGGAACGTTGTTCTTCTCCGGTCAGGAATAAACACTTGTTTGGCAACCATAATACAGCTGGAAAGAGGGACAACATAAAATAAGTAATCTGAGATTGAGAGACAAAATATAATTTTGTCTCTATCATAAAATTTTACAACGGTAGTAACATTTTCATTACTTGATTTTATTCTTGTACGTGCTGGGAGCGATTACGCTTAATGCAAATGTAAACTCATTAAGCACTGCATTACAGCATTAAATAGTTTGAAAATAATGTAGATTTTATTGAAATGGAGATTCAGTCTGTACACATGTTTAGGATCGCCCATGCCCCTTCTATCAGATACGAGAGTCCACAAATCCTTGCAAAAGCACACCGATTCTTACTAAGAATAATTCGCGAGGCTATGAAATACGAAAAACATCCTAATTTTGATAGGTAAGATAGCTGATTGCTAACATCTATTTAGGATCTTAAAATTAAAAAAAAACATTATTATGCAATCGTATACATTATAATTAATACAATAAAAGCCATAAAACTAGTATAATTGAAAATATAGTTTTTTAAACTACTTAAGCCAGTAGTTGACAACTATCCTGACCGATAGAAAGATTTTACTATATAGAAAATGGAAACCATACTGGCTTCTTCAAAATACATTTTACTACTTTGATAGGACTCGAGCTGATAATTGATATTTTGTTGTAACTGATAGTGTATAAGTACATATTCTTTCATTTAATTACTTCTAATTGTTAATTATTTCATATTTTAACTACCCTTTTGCCATAATTACATCATGAAATAGATTTTCTGTTATTGCTTATTTAATGATTTAATAATAATTGATTTAATACGGTAATTCATATAAAACAAAAATTTCAAAGACAGAAAACAAGTTTGCATGTCTCTACAAAAGAGTTGTTAAATTAAACACATAAATAAAATAAATAATGAAATGAATAAATAAATAAACTACAAAAAACATTATGTCTAGTGGAAGACAACCCTACATTCACTTACAAAAACGAGGCTGCCACTCGAGAACCTTTCTTCCTTATCCGCTGTCGGTTCTTCGAGCTATATGACCTGCTCATTGCTACTTACGCCTTCTAATCCATTGAGCTATGTTGGTAACTCTGGTTCTACTGCGATTATTTTGTTTATTTCTCATACGGCAGCAGTGACGTCTTAAATCCGTAAGTTAGCACCGGCAACACTCACTGGTATTTTAAAATATACGCAATGTATATCAAACTCACAGATTATAAATTCGCTTTAAATGTAATTTGGAACGAGTTACTAGTTGAATAAAATGTATTGCTATGAAAGGTGAGAAATGTTTTGTAGCTTAAAAATTGGTGTTTTTGGCAAATTTATCAAAGCGGAATACTTATTGACTGGTAAGACTCCTTTTTTTGTCTAAGAGTTCATCGAGGTAGGTTACTTTCTATACGTGGTAGAGCCACGCTGCAAGCTATATTGTGGTTCTAGCTAGTTGTGGTCGGCTCGACCGGGGTAAGACCCCGCTCTAACAGAATATTAGCGTAAAATAGTAGCTTAACAGGTTGCCTGTCCAAAAAAATACACAATAATTAAACAATTGAAATGTTTTATATGATTCATCGGACAGGGAAAGGCTTAATGGAGATACTTTTAACTGAAAAGCGAGGCATTCCATCTTAATCCGGGATGACAACGCATTTGCATTTGAATTCTTAATCCCGGATAAATGAGCCCATCGGATAGACTCTATGCTCGCTTGGAACTCTTATTCTAATTTAAAATAAAAAAAACAATTTCTACCGCCAAATATCAGTCCGTGAACTACGAGCCCGTATAATTACAGACCGAGGCCATTCGATTTTAGTCCTCAGAGTTGACAACACATCCTAAGCCTTCTTTATTTAAAAATATTGAGTGAAACTAGCTTTTTTTTAAATCCGTAAAAGTAGCTTTATTCAATAATCACGTGAATGTAAGAAATCTTTCCGTTGAGACTTTCTGCCGTGCCCGAAGTTGGATCAGGAAGACTTTTTTAAGAGAACCTAACCGTTAACAAAACGAGAATGTTAAAATAGCCGTGGCGCGACGACAGCGTCGCTACATAACTGTAGGGGGTGATGTGGCGGCGCTGTCGTCGCATCATAAACAAAACGCACCGAAGTCTAAATCGTGCTATTAAAGTTCCTTAGTTAACGCCTTAGTTGCCTGCTCCCCGGGCTGAACATCTTGCTCGGCGAGAGATCTCCCTTTTCTTTCCAGCAAAACCATTTTGTACTCCCTTTGAGTAAATTAATTCTTTAAAAGCAAAATAAGATGAACAAATATTGTATCCAACGGTGAACTTGTCATGGGTTGTGATGAAAATGAAAACGAACGACTTTTATTTGATATAGATTATTGCATAATAAAAAATGACTTTCGTTAAGAAAGTCATTTTTTATTTACCACTGGTTCGGAAAGAAACCTTTGTCCTGGGAAGAACCAGCAAGAACTGATTTTAAACCACTTTGCAATAATTTTATGTGTACAATTTTTAAATTAATTTTAGTAGAAACAGAATAGTGGCGGTCACCCATCATTCCCAGGGATTATTCCCATTTATGTATTATCAGATATTATAATAACCCTTTTTGTACAAATTTTCTTTAATGAACTTATTTAGTGACAAATTTTGTACATTTTATGGGATTTTGTTGTAGAAGCGTGTGGCGGCGCTGACGTCGCGCCGCAACTCCTCTAACATATGGCAGTACAGCAGGTACACGCTCGACTGTGGCCGGCTTCACTCGTTCACTGTGACGTAAGCGCGGGACTCGAAGCTTGTTGTCATGCAAAACTTGCTTGACATGGTGGAGCTCTGCAGCCAGGTTCTCTCTGTCTCTGTTTAGACTTAGAGGAGTCACTGACAAGATTGGCTACATCTTGAAGCGCGCTTCCATCAAAACATACTTCCCCACCGGCATTAAGGACGCACCTCTGGTCTGAGCAGGGGGGTGATGTGGCGGCGCGTCGTCGCGCCGCAAGCGAAACACACCGAAGCCTAAATCACGCTATCAACATTCCGAACCATAAACAGCATATATAGAACATCTCCGAACTATCACCGGTAGCGTTGGCCGCTCCCCGGGCAGAACACCTTGCCCGGCGGGAGATCTCCCCTTTTCCTTCCACGGCCACAAGCGTATACATTGCCCCATAAATGAGTTACTTATTCTGTCGAGTTTAGTAACCGGTATTGCAATCTTGTATTTGTTCTTAGTGCTTAAAATATAACCATTTTTATTGCATTTTCATAAATCTATTGCGATGCCAACGTTAATATGTTTATTTTAACCCTTTCCTACCGGACTACAGATTTTTAAAGATTTTTCCAAATTTAACTTTAATATATTATTATAGTAGGTAAAAATAAACCAACAGATTTTTTTAGATTTTTATTATACCTAGAAGTACTATTTCTAAGACCTGGACTAATTTGTACCGTCAGTTACTTTATGTATCACAATTTTAGGAACTTTGATAGAAAATATGAATATGTAAAAATAGAAATAGAAATAGAATATCACGAGGTTGACGTTTGATGAGATCAAACGACAACCTCGTGATATTCTACAAAACAGTTTTTTTATCATTCAGACACAAAAATACATTACAGTGGGAACATTTAGTAAAAGGTTTGGACTGAATCTTCTTGAAGCTGCAAACTTCACACCTTCCTCTCTTTTCTGAAAATGTAGGCCAATGTATGCCTCTGTTACCCAAACGTACGTCTCTCAGAGTAGAATAATTTGATTTGCGCCTTTTAGAAGGACCAGAACTTGGAGCATTATCTGAAGAAAACCTTTTTTCTGACCAGTATTTTTCATTGTCATCAAGCCTTGAGTAACAGAGCGTCGAAAGTCTTTTACGGTAGTCTTCTCAAATATAACTCCATGAATGACAAAAGCGTTGACAAATGCTATGTCCAGTAAACCCCAGAACAACCTATGCCACCATTTTGGAGACTTGCGATATATACAGTAAAGGGCTCTCAAATGATCAGCTGTGTTTACGCCCCCCATGTAAGTGTTGTAATGTTTGACAGCCATTGGCCATGTTATTGTAGACTTAGACCCATTTTTTTCTTTACGTGACACAGTTGCCTCTTTATTTCCATAAAAATTAGAGAGCAAATGTACTACTTTGTTATCTTTCCATTTCCAATATCCAATATCTAGGTTTGAAAATCTGTAATCACTTTCCCCTCTTTTCATTTTTGAATCAGGGAGCATATTTGGAGGCAGTCCCTTTCTATTACTTCTGACTGTTCCGCATGCGTAGGTATTCTAAATTTTCAACTTTTCAAGTAAAGCAACAGATGTAAAAAAATTATCAAAATAGACAATTTTCCCTTTACCCCATTCTTGTTCCGTCAATTCTAAAACTACTCTTTCTCCCAAGCTATATTTTGAAAATTTTGCGCTCATTTCTTCATCTTTAAATTTAAGCCCCTCTGATCTGCAAGATACCACAACTTATATCCTCTCTTGATTGGTTTCATGGGTAGATACTGTTTTAGTACAGACCTACCCTTGAATTTGATCATCGATTCGTCCACGCTCATTTCACGGGTCCCATGATAGCACTCTTGAAATTTTTTATTGAGAGCATCAACAATAGGTCTTATTTTATACAACTTATCTTTGCAGTTTTTAGGCATTTGAGCATTGTCGTTGCAGTGTAGATGTGATAAAATCATAGCAAATCTGTCGCTTGGCATGGTGTTGCATATAAGTGGATTGTTAAGATCAGATGCCGAAGAGTAATGGTCTGTCCAAGTCGGCAGAGTATTGTAGCCCATATAGAAATTCATACCAATAAATGCTAAAAGTTCCTCCTTTTTTAGATTCAATACCTTGCCTTTCTGCGTAGCGTAGTGGTTACTTTGGTATACAATCCCATCTAATATATCGTCAATCAACACACGAAATATATCAGTCGTTTTAGTACAGTGAGCAAAAAAATTCTTCTACTACTACAGTATTTGCATTATATTCCGATATATTTGTCTCTAAGTTTCGTTTCTTCCAATTACGGTTTGGGTCTACTACTTTCGGTCGCGTAGCTCTAGGCATGGACGTATTTGTTGAAGGAAGAGCAATTTGGAGACTGGGGATAGGGATTGGAGATGTATATACCTGATCTACAGAACAACCTGATGGCACTTCTTCATTTGTCGGCGATGGAGGAATTTCAGCTAAGACCCTCTCAATAGCCTCCTCAAAATAGTCGTCGAAGCCTCTCGATAAGGGTACTTGAAGATCTTTTTCGACTTCTTCATCGGAAACACCTACATCAGAATCTTCGCTACAATCTGGAAGATCCTCTAACAACAGAGCTTCAATGAGGGCAGTTTTTTTAGAAATATCCATTACCGTACATCTATAATAAAAATGGAACAATAATAAGAAAATAATTATTGATATATAACGAAACAAAGTACCTATTCATCGTGTATAATTATCATAAAATTCAGTAAATTACAAGACCAAAAGTTTCTGAGGGTACTTTTTAGTTCTTGTCGGTTTTTATAAAATATAAACATGGAATAAGGTAATAATACATCATGCAAGTATTTAGAAATCTACTTGATAATATAAACTTACTATATAATGGAAAGTATTTGAACTTGGGGGGGGTGGGCTCGGGGGGGGGGGGTGTTTGTGTGGGGTGGCGGTTTTTGTCCTCGGTCTTATATGGGCGGTTGTGTTAAACACCTATGATATTATATTTTTAAAACTATAACAAATTCAATGTATTAGACGAAAAAGGAGCCGGTACTTAATAGTACCGTAAGGAAGGAAAGGGTTAAAAAAAATTCTAAAGGCCTCTTTACAATTTAAGTGATAAATCGCCCGTACGGCTCTCTTTTCAATCAAAAATTTGACTTCAATGTCAGTCATATTACCGCATAGCAAAATTCTATAACCAATAAAAACTAATCTAGCTGTCTCAAGATTGGTGAGCCTTCTAATCTTTCTAACATTATGTGCTGCCAAACTAAGTCTGCCTGCTAATTTAGATATAAATATGGGGGCCCCATCGAAACTTCGCGTCAATAGTAATACCAAGAAAGCCAGTGGTATCCACAATACTCAACTCCTCCCCATTTGAAGGCAGGCACAGGCATTGGTATTCGAATGTTTAACATTAATACATATATATATATACATATATATACACAATAGATGTTAAAAATCTTATTACTATATCGTAGCTTTTCAATGATAATGACAGTTACCTACTTGTTAGAATCAGGCGTTACTTTGCGGAAATCCATTATAATAAAGATAATAATTAATTTGCAACCTTCCGCTAACTAAATACAACGATGTCTCTACGACTCTACCTGAGGATGCTTCGTGTAGAGGCGAAACACGTGTCGTATTATCGTCGATGGTGTGTCTTTCCTTTTTTTGGATTGGTGTTGGGAGTAGTGGTGCCGGGAGTAGTGGTGCTGGGAGTAGTGGTGTTGAGAGTAGTAGTGCTGGGATTAGTGGTGATGGGATTGGTTCACGCAATTCCCCGGGGGGGGGAGGTGCTCTTCATTCCAGGTAAGACACATCACTGTATTTAGTTAGCGGAAAGTTGCAAATTAATTAATATCTTTATTATTTATGATGATGACAGTGTCTGACAATCTGTGTGCGTAATATAATACGTTCACCTGAGTCCCAAGTGGTATCTTTATTATTTATGATGATGACAGTGTCTGCAATGTGTGCGTAATATAATACGTTCACCTGAGTCCCAAGTGGTGACATCTGGTGTAAGATTGAGCCTTCATTGACAACAGATTTAATGATTCCTTGTATTATTAAATTAGTTATGTTTCGAGGGTTTTAACATCATGCTTTCATTTTTCTATAAATTAAGTTTTTAATGTAACTGTTCAAATGACAATGAGATTGTTAATCTTGGCACCGATTTCAGAATATGAAATAATTTTATTCGTTTTAGTCCTTATAAGTCAAGCTTTAATATTTAATAAACGTTTATTTTTATTTTTATTTAAATCTAAATTTTTGTTTGTAAAATATTAAATATAAATATAAAAGGTTCTCGAGTGGCAGCCTCGTACCGGTAGGCGTAGTGTAGGGCGACCCCCCACTAGATGGAGTGACGACCTGGTAAGATATGCAGGAAGTCGATGGATGCAGGTGACTCAGGGCCGTGCTTTGTGGCATTGCTTGGGGGAGGCCTACGTTCAGCAGTGGACTTATGAAGGGCTGTAATAATGATGTTGATGATGATGATGATTTTGTTTTTTTATTTTTTTTTATTATATATATATATATATATATATATATATATATATATATATATATATATATATATATATATGGGTCTTCACGCTATATTTCTACTATTATAATGGTTACGCATAGACTTTCTATAATATTGATTTTTTATCATAGACCTTACTCTCATAATTCCTTAATATGTCTCTATTACATTGTGTAATTATACTTCGGTGACCACCACATACGTATAACTACAGGTACTTGTCTCCGGCAACTCCCTTATAAAATCAATCATTACAATGTTCATGTAATGATCAGCTCCAGCAATTCATGAGCACACCCCATTGTCAACTTGTATTTCTATTATTTAATAACTTTTGAATATTTTAATCGGTCCGAACTGCTGGGTTTCAGTTGATGCAGCACCACCACCGACCATATTCTCCGGAATTAGCTCTGATTGATTTTCACTTTATTACTTATCTGAAAAAGCTGGTTTGCTTGGTTTAAAATTCGACGGCGGCAATGTGCTGATGTGTGCTGAAAGGCTTTTTTGAGTCCCAGAATCAAGCCTTGTATTCCAAGGGAATTGATCAACTTGTAAAACGCTATTCAAATATATGTACATCCTCACTGTACTCAGTGTATATAACCTAGATAAGCGTGACATTATCTAGTCATTTTGGTATATTATTACATAGTCATTTTATTATGATGTACTTACTAATGAACCAAAACATATGAAGACAAAGTCATGACACCGCTCCTGTCTGTCTATCTCCATCAATGATCAACTTTAAAAAACTAAAAATATAAACGGACAGGACATTAGCTGAAAATACGTTTATGTTGAAAAATAAATACAATTTACATATACTTATCCTAGAGTTTCATTGCGTTTCTTAAAACTTATTGATCAACCTAGTATGAGATAAATTTCATGGAATAACCAAGATGATAAAAAATTAAGTACTTTTTTAGATTCCGATATTTTTAATGAATAACAAATATTATCTTGTATATAAATGCTATTAATTATTATTGGATAACTCGCTTTAGGGTCGTTTAGTTAATGATAGTCACACGCATCTTCTGCATATTCCCGGATAAAGCAATTGAGCACCATTACATCTCATCCTGAAAATTTGTAAATTTTGTCTTAATATGATAGGTTTATTTGCTAAATATTAATTCATACCCACGGAAGTTGAGCGTCGAATACTCTGGCAATATTTGGTCTAAGCTGTGTTGGCTACCTTTTTTGTAACCATTTAAGAACAAATTTTAACATATGCTGCTGTTGTAAGCATATTGTTATAATGTTACTAAATACTATATTAATCGAGTAGTGGCGGTGTAAGAATATCCACTACTTCGTATCGACCCGCGGGTAGCGTAAGAGACAACAGATCATTCTGATAACAACTCAAGATAGTAAAAACCTGCAGTTGCCAAATCGACTGCCAAGCGAAATTCCCCACATGAGTCAATCTACGAGGGAGGCCTATGTTAAGCAGTGGGCTTTTATAGGCTGTATTACAGCCTATAAATGTCCACTGCTGAGCATAGGCCTCCTCCATATATATCCTCACAGGGGAACTAAATTATATGATGAATGCTGCCCATTCCAAAAAACAAATCTTCTTAGAAATATGAAGATGAACATAGGCCTCCCCTATAGATAGAGTCATAGGAGGATATTTGCGATTGTTGCCAAGCTTGGCAAGCGAGCTTGCAGCCGTAGTTTTTAATTTTAGTCGTTATCATCTCCTGGTTTGTTTCCCTTTGTCGCCTCTTACGACACCCACGGGATGTTATAGTATAGTGGATAGGCACAGGTGTACCACAAACTAATTTCTTTCTTCATTCCTGTTTTCAAATTGCTTCATTACTACTAAATACGTAAGTACTCTCATAGACGTATATATAGGATGTACATTAGCTTTACTTTTGCCTGTTATTTCATTGTTTACCTGTTTACACAAGACTAGGATTAATTATAAACGTACATTTAGCCAAAACTCTCAGAAGTTGAAAAATCCGCCCATATTTTTATACGTAGTGGAGTCACACTGCAGCTATATTATGGTTGTAGCACGAATGGGTTGGCTCGACTGGGGAAGGACCACGCTGTCACAGAATATCAGCGTAAAATAGCAGCGAAATAGTGCTGTGCTTCATACTAGGAGTGTGAGATCCGGAGACCCTTTTTTACTGGAAACTAGGCATTCTATCTTTGTCCTCAGGAGTGACAATGCATCTGCGTTTTGATTCTTAATCGGGAATAAATGTAGATGTCTATGGGTCACAGCACCCACTTACCATCAGGTGGACTAAGTGCTCGTTTGTGACCCTTATTCAAAAAAAATATTTTTGTTCTGTTCTATGGGGCACAGCATCCACTTACCAACAGGGGACTTTATTATTTGTTTTATATTTATTTTATTACTTATCTTCATTCAAGCATCTAAGTTTAGTTCATTCGTTAGTTAGTGATTTTACAGTGTTAGTGACTTTGTAGTTCTTTATACGCACCTGCATAGGTTGCAGTAAGTTACGCCGTTAGTGGCGCAGACTGGTTTGTACTCTGTGGTACATATGCAATCGAACGCACTGGCCATCGACATTGCGAGTAGAAAAATTGAGAGAACTGTTAACATACAAATAATTTCCCTTATGTATTTGCATATAACACTAGGTGGTGGACCCTCTTTATGTGTAGGAATCTGCCTGGGTAGGATGCCTGGGAACACCCTCCTATTTATATATATTACAAAGTAGCAGTTTTTTCACTCTGTGTTGTGGTCGGAAGAGAGACAGGATACACAGAGCCAGTACAATAACAGGCTGTGTGGCATTCCATCTTAGTTATCAGAGCAAGCGTTTTATACGTGGTAGAGCAACGCTGCAGCTATATTATGGTTGTAGCACAAATGGATCAACTCGACCGGGGAAGGATCACGCTTTCAAAGAATACCGGCGTAAAATAGCAGCTTAATACTGCTATGTTTCGTGTGGTGAGTGTAGAGAACCGGAGACCCCTTTTTACTGGAAACGAGGCATTCCATCATAGTCCTCAGGGGTGACAACACATCTGCATTTTCATTCTTGTACGAGGATAAATGAGA